ACATGGTCTTTCCTCTGTACATATCTATGTCCTGATCCACTCTTACAAAGACTCTGATCATATTGGATTAGAACCCATCCTAATGATTTCATTTTAATGGAATTATCTCTTTAAAGACCCTATCTTTAAAAACAGTCACAGTCTGAAATACTGGGGGTTAGTACATCAACATAGGAAATTTTAAGGGAACAATTCAGCTCCTAACAGTACACAGTTTCCACAAACCAAGTCAGTATTTACATTTCCCTCAACAAAAAGCCCCATCACATACCTTTGAATCGCTTTGTTTTATTGAATAAGTAAACTGTGGCATTTCCATTGAATGAAATAGTGTAATTGCCATATAAATGGAGTAACCAAAAAATTATACTGAAGAAAAACATTTATATTTGCCTGTGTAGTTGCCTTGATCAATGCTGTTTATTTCTCGATTTGAGTTACTATCTAATAACCTTTTATTTCATTCTGAAGGGCTCTCTTTAGTACCTCTCGTGGAGTAGGACTGCCAGAAATCAGTTCAGTTTTTGTTTACCGTGAAATGTCTTAATTCCTCTTTCTTGTGTGAAAGACAAAATTGGTGGATGTAGGGTCCTTGACATATAGTCTTTGTCTTTAAGTGCTTGCAATGTGTCTTCTCACTGCCTCCTGGCTTCCATGGTTTCTGACGAGAAACCAGATGATGATATTGTTGTAGATCCCTTGTGTGTGATCGTCGTCTATATCTTGCTGCTTTTAAGATTCTCTCTTTGTCGGGGCACCTGGGTGGCTCAGTCGGTCGGTTAAGCGTCCGACTTCGGCTCAGGTCATGATCTCATGGTCCGTGGGTTCGAGCCCCGCGTCGGGCTCTGTGCTGACAGCTCAGAGCCTGGAGCCTGTTTCCGATTCTGTGTCTCCCTCTCTCTCTGACCCTCCCTCGTTCATGCTCTGTGTCTCTCTGTCTCAAAAATAAATAAATGTTAAAAAAAAATGTAATAAAAAAAGATTCTCTCTTTGTCATTGTGTTTCAACAGCTTGATTATTGACGTGTCTGAGTATGAATCTCTTGCGTTAATCTTACTTGGAGTTTGATAAACTTCTTGTAAGTGTAGACCAGTGGTTTCCATTAAATTTAAGATGTTGTTAGCCCTTGTGTCAAGTATTTCTTCTCCCCCTTTCTCTCTCTACTCTCCTTCTGAGATTTCCATTACGCATATGATATGATCGACGGTGTCCCACACATCTCTTGAGGCTTAGCTCAGTTTTCTTCTTTCTTCTCTTTCTGTCCCTCAGACTGGAGGACAATCACAATTGACCTGTCTTCAAGCTCATGATTCTTTCTTCTGCCAGTTCAAATCTGCTGTTGAGTACCTCCAGTGCATTTTTCATTCATCTATTATACATTCCAGCCCTAGAATTTAATATAATTTAATTTATATTTGTTTTTTTATATATGATTTGTATTCCTTTATTGATATCTTCAATTTGGTGAGACATCATTCTCATAATTTCCTTTAGTTTTTTTCACATATTTACAATAGCGAGTCAGGTAAGTCCAATGTCTCAGCTTCTAGGACAGTTTCAATGGACTGCTTTCTTCCTATACATGGGCCATACTTCCTTTTTTCTTCATAGGTCTCATAAATCTTTAAAGCCAGCATTTTATTTTTTTAAAAAAAAATTTTTTTTTTTTAACATTTTATTTATTTTTGAGACAGGGCGAGACAGAGCATGAACAGGGGAGGGTCAGAGAGAGGGAGACACAGAATCTGAAACAGGCTCCGGGCTCTGAGCCATCAGCACAGAGCCCGACGCGGGGCTCAAACTCACAGACCGTGAGATTGTGACCTGAGCCAAAGTCGGCCGATTAACCGACTGAGCCACCCAGGCACCCCTAAAGCCAGTATTTTAAATAATATAATGTGGCAACCCTAAAAATCAGATTCTCCCTCCTCTCCAGGGTTTTTTGTTGCTGTTGCTGTTTGTTTAGTGACTTAGCGTGAGATTCAGGAAGTCTATATAGTTTTGTATGTAGCCCCCTGAAATCTTTGCTCAGTTAGCTTTGTAATCAGCTAATGACTGGACAAAGGGTTCCTTAAATGCTTGGAATCAGTAGGTCTCCAGTCTCTGCTAAGGAGTGCTGTGTGCATGGTGGGGGGGGGGGGGGCAGGCCTTCAACACTGAGGTAGGAACTTTACAGCCTTGCCTTCACCTTCACTTCCTGCTTGCTCAGAGGCTCAAGGTCAGCCAGAGACAAGAGCTCAGGGCCTTCTCAGGTCTTTCCTGGGCATGTACACAGTCCTACTGTGGTCTTCTAGACATGCATGTGGTCTTCTAGATTCTCAGGAATATGTCAGAGTTTTTCCAAGTTCCTTACGGACATCTTTCTCCAGCTTTTCCTTTTGTTTCTTGGTTAGCTTGTTGTTTTCCCCAACTGTTATCACTGCCCCCCAAGCAGCTGCAATATTAAACAACTGCCTGGCTGTTTCTGACAACTGACTCAAGGTAAAAGGCTGCCTGCATTGGGTGAGCTCTCTGCCAGGTCACACAAAGACAAGCCTTGCAAGCGGGGTTTTCTAGGGAACCGCCAGACACATGAAGTAATGACGGTTCTGAGAACGGGGCTTTGAAAGAGCTCCACCCGTGTTCTGACCTCCGCTAGCTGTTAGGCTGCTGGTTTTCACCACGATTTGGGGCTGTTGGTTTTTGAGGCTCGTGGAGCTGAGCAGGGGGAGTTAAAATTCCACACCGTTCAGGGTTCTTACTAAAGTTCAGCTGTTTTGTTCCTAAGGAAGCTCCCCCGGAATTCATTTACAGAGCTCTAGAAGAGTTTGTTTGGTCCGTGCTTGCCACTGCTCTCATTGCTTTTATGGGGGAGAAGGTTTTCAGGGGTTCCTCCCCTCCCCCCGCCGGCCTTCCTGGTGACATCCTCTTGGCTGCACCCGCTGTTGTTTCTTCATACCTGTATCCCAAGTGTCTGATTCTCTCTTCAGCCAGTTCCAACAGATGTTGAAGGTCCATTTAGATTTTAACTTTAGTAACGGTAGATGTCATTCCTCACTGCATTTGGTTACGTATATAGCCAGAATGGAAAGCCTAGGCGGATTTTATGGTATTTGACCATCGCTGGCTTCTAATCACTTCACAATAAACGTGTACCTCCTTTATGGGAAAAAAAAAAAAAAGTTACTGAGGTTATTTTATCACCTTTTCCCCTTGACTTCCTGTGTACTCCTCATTCTGAGCCCATATGTCCCTGCCATCATCTGTCTTCCCCCCTCACACCCCAACACACACGAAGAGTTGGCAGTTCGGACGAGAAGCGCTGGTCGGGAAATAAAAAGCAAGACAGCACCCTTTTCTTTGCCTTATCTAGAAGTCCTGCAGTACTTGTGTTAGAGGCATAAAAGGGGGCTTTTGTGGGTTAGCCAGACAGACACTGCCAAAGGGTAGGATTCGGTTTGGGGATTAAGGAGAAGAACCCAGGGCTGGAGTGAGGGCAGCGCTGACTCGGGCCCTGACAGCTGAGCGGGGTAAATCACGTAAGTCCCTGGCACCCCGGTTTCTTCTTCTAGTCACACGGAGCAAGTGCCATGCTCTGAAATCATCCTGTAGCTCTGAATCCTCCGTGGAAACACCCACACGTATTCTCTTCTCCCCTCTCCCCCTGCACTCGACACAAAGCAGTTGCCTGATACACCTTATCGGCTGTCTCAATAAACGACACGTGGACTGACTGGCTGTTTCCTGGAATGAACGAACACTGACCACGGGACTTTTGTGTGTCACAGGTAGTTTGGCCTTGAAGGATCCCTTATTCATTTTTTTTTTAAGTTTTAATTACATGACATTTTACAATCTTATTAGAGTAAGGGTGACTATTTTAATGTTTTCTTCTACCTAAAAGTTCCTTGTTTTCTTCTGATTTTAAAAGAATTTTTATAGGTCCCTAAAAAGCAGTTGTGGGCCCTAGGCCCCGGACCTGCCTGGCCACTGGAGAAGTCATCCCTGAGGATGGGTGGAGTTTCCCCCATTCTGTCATTTCATATTTTTAAAAAAGCTGCTCCTGGGGTGCCTGGGTGGCTCCGTCGGTTAAGCACCTTACTTCGGCTCAGGTCACGATCTTAGGGTTCGTGGGTTCAAGCCCCGCGTCGGGCTGTGTGCTGACAGCTGGGAGCCTGGAGCCCGCTTCGGATTCTGTGTCTCCCTCTCTCTCTCTCTGCTCCTTCCCCACTCGTGCTCTGTCTCTCTCTGTCTCTCAAAAATAAATAAACGTTAAAAAAAAAAAGCTGCTCCTGACTCCTGGGCTGCAGTCGCTCAGATGGCATTTCTGTGCAAACCAGGAAAAGGTTTCTTATCTTTAAGAAGAAGGGACAAGCCTTGAAAGTATTATGGTTATTGCACAGTCTGAATAACTATCCTCACTGGGCCCGGGGCAAGTACAGAGTCGGGGTGGGGGGCATCCCTTCCAACGTCACCTCGGGCGGCAGTCGGGGCCTGCACGGCACGATGGGAGGAGAGTAACGCTGATCCATGACGTTCGGCTGGAGGACCTCCCGGGTGTAGTTCCATAAGCCAAACTTCACTCTAAGTCGATGGCCGGGAGGCTCACGTCTCCGTAGGGCTCAGGCGAAGCCCCGAAAGCCACGGGAGGCCAGACGCGCGGCCTCCGGGGTCTCCCGGCGCGACAAGCGGACAGGGCACGAGCACACGTGACTGTGCACCTGTGCGCACGTGCCTTCCCGTGCGTGTGCACGGCCTCGCGGGCACGCGTGGCTGGCTGTGAGCCAGGACGCTCCCCCCTCCCCGCCCCGCGAAGTCCCGGCAGCGCCACCGCACACGCTGGTAGTAGCGTCCGTCTGCAGCACGAATCACACTCTCGGTCCTAAGCCCTGAGCCCCTGTGCGGGCCGCAGTCCCGCAGTCGGAGCAGCTCGGGGCCGCGACCACCGCCCGCCCGCTGGGCCCACTTGCCGAGGGCAAGGCCGCACTCACTAAAGCCTCCGTCCGTCCCCTTCCTTGCAGGAATGACGTGCCAAGCCCGGAGCTCCTACGTCACCAGTGAGATCCTGTGGGGTTACCGCTTCACACCTGTCCTGACGCTGGAAGACGGCTTCTATGAGGTCGACTATAACAGCTTCCACGAGACCTACGAGACCAGCACCCCATCTCTCAGTGCCAAAGAGCTGGCCGAGCTGGCCAGCCGGGCGGAGCTGCCCCTGAGTTGGTCCGTGTCCAGCAAACTCAACCAGCGCGCGGACCCGGAGACGGAAGAGGAGGAGAAGAACCTCGAGGAGCAAACAGAAAGGAATGGTGACGTGGCAAACCTAGAAAACGAATCCAGAGTCTAGTCGCCTAGCCGGGCGGCTCCTCCCCCCCCCCCCCCCCCCCGCACAACCCCTCCTCGTCTCTCATGCTCTCTCTCTTTTGTCTCTCTTCCTTGGTTGTGTATGGATTTACATTTAGTTTTGACATCGCCAGAAAGCGAGTCTTCGAGGTGTAAAATATCTACCTGCCCTGTCTCAGTTTTGCAGATGGACGAGGCAGACACAGATTTGGTGAAGGTGCCAAGCGCCCTCCCTCGCGGCCCCAGCTTGCTCTCTTCCCGAAAAACCACGCATCCGACTCCTAGGGACTTAAGCTACTTACCTGCATGTCTTGGACAATAGCAGATCACTCAAAGAGTGTGTCAGAGATTTCACCTGGGATAGGACAAGTTAGGTCTCTGGTGCCTATTTCCTCATGCAGTGAGACATAGCATATAACCCTCGGTTTTATAGATTCCAGTAAATTCCATCTGCAGGGCGACGTGCCTGCCCCCTACAGGCATTGTAGTTATAGGACCCGGGTCAGGTAAAGACAAAACACTGTACATATATATGCCTTATGTAATTATTTTTCTTTTTGCAGTCAGTAATAAAACACAGCATGTACGAAAAGTACTGTAGGACAGAACTTCCAAATAATGTACATAGATGTATAATTAATGTAGGTTTAGATATATAACTTTAGAAATAAGATGCAAAAAAAAAAAAAAAAAAAAGATTCCCGATGTACAGCAGGCATTTCTGTTCTGATGTCTTTGCTTTCTGAATTTCTTTGGTCCCATCGATCACTGGCCCTTAGTGCATGGCCTTTGTTCTGTGTCCCAGACTGGTAGTGTTTGGGTACCTCACTGTTCCCTTGCTTATCCTCTCACTGAATCTAATAAGCCATAGGTCTGGGGGAAGTTAGGCGGTCCGGTACATGGCAAAACCCACCACCAATATGCTGAGATACTGTGAAATGTTTACAAAACTGAGGTCTCTTTCTTTTTTTTTTTTCTTTTCTTTTTTTTTTTTTTAGTAACAGGAGCCTCACTGACTAGCCTGGGAGAATATTCCAGGGGGACGACACTCTCTGGCATGTCAGCAATGATGTGTTTATGCTTTTCACATGAGCTGTCACCCTTTGTAGTACAAGAGTTTGGGAAACTCTTCTCCTGCAAACCCATGGATTCCCCAGCTGTTCCACTCTGTAATTGTGAGAAACTATAGACCTAAAAAAATCAGACATGGTAATTTAGCAGAAGACGGTCCGGGTCTAAAGCCATGACATTCATGAAGGCGTGCAGTGGGCGACATGTATTATAATCATTCACCTCACACACTTTGACTCCCTCCGGCTCTCTCCCTGGCCCCTCTAGCTTATCCATCAGCATTTTTCGCATTTGTATTTATTATTATTCGTCTTCTTTTATTATTCTGAAATGACCAGAGTTCAAGGGTCAAAGATTAAATCAACAATCTAGGTGACTATGAAATCTCTCTAGAGCATGCCACAGGCGGGAAATCAAACCCAAAGTGTCTCCCAATCAGAAGAAAACAAGCAAAAAAACTGCAGCCTTAATTAATTTTAATCTGTGAAGATAAATGGAAAGAGAGAGATTAAGAGAGAGAGAAGAGAAGAGAAGAGAAGGAAGGAAGGAAGGAAGGAAGGAAGGAAGGAAGGAAGGAAGGAAGGAATTTTGTACTAAAAAATCTAAATTTCAAAATGAAAAAAAAATTTCAAGTAAAAAGATAAGGAAGAGGATGTTAGACAAAAATCTCAAGGGCAGGTGGAAATTTTGCACTGTAACAGATCTTTCACATTAATTTCGCAATTTTAAACTCTTTATTCCCTAAACAGTCGCCCATCATAAATATTCATTGGCTGAACTCAAGTTCATTTTCAGCTCCCACAGCTGTGCTCAGTTTGAGGCTTTGTGCCTTGGAGGTCAAAGAACTCAAACTAGCTATCACTCCCTGTTGCCCTTGACTTCCCTGACCAGATTGCACAGGCCTTCGCTGTAGTTCGGGGACTTGGCTACTAAAAAGCATGTCCCAGAGACAAGGAAAGTGGCTCCTCAATTTAACACAGGGGTCTCTCTTCTCCCACGTCCTTGACCTTGCATTAGGACAACTGCTTCTTGGCACTGACTTAACCGAAAACAAAACTGTTGGCCACGTAGCCCTTTCCTGTTTGCCAGCATTTCACTTTCTGCATTGAATACCTGTCGAATCATTTATTCATTCCACACACTCCGAGGAGGGCGTTGTAGTCCAGGAGGAGGAGGAGGGAGCCCCATACACTTCCTGCCAGGCTGTTGGGAGGTACTGTGGCCTTACCTCGCTGTAGCCTTATGAAGGGCGCCCTTGACTTGGGGGCGCTAACCCTGCAACATCACCAGAGTTGCAGGGAAGGCACCGTAGCACAAAGCAAGATGAGGCAGGGGCTCATTAGCTAATTAGCTCTTGATGACTCAGTGGGCCTTTTTTTACTCCGTTACTAAGGTTCAAAGGACAGCACACACCCTGTTGTCTGGTTGGAAGAACAGTTTGGGGCCCTTTAGCACAACTGAACGAAGAGCCTTGGTGACCCTTTGGTCATGCACATGTGTCGGTTCTGTATCTGTGACAGGGCACCCAGGTGTGAGGTCTCTGCCTATTTCTCATCGTCTTTTGTGTCAATGTAGTTGAAGACAGAACATGAACCAAATCTCGTTTTTGTAACGTGAACCTCTGGATCTTTAAACAAGGATGCTCCAGAAGAACCTTTTACTAGAATGTCCCTATCAAACGTGTCTATTTTTCTACAATTATTGATAACACAGTTTAACAGTGTATTTTGTGTCAACTGTTAAAATTTGGAATTGAAAGAAGTTCATTAAGACTGAATTTTCTAAGCAGCAAGTATTGAATGGTGTTTTTCATTAAGACCGTAAAACAAAGATGAGCCCATGATTTCTACTCATTCTATTCCGCCATGGCCAGTCCCCATTCACTCAGTCACTTTCTTAGCAAATCAAGTGTTATGAAAATAAATAAGCCTATTTTAATTCAACAATACCCACAACTAATGAGCATCGCTCTCAACTTGATATTTTGGTCTGTTTGGTTGGTGTGTTTGAGTCACTTTCCATAAAAGCATGGTGGGATCCAATAGCCAGATAAGAATTTTTAACTAAAGGGTTATGGTTTGCCACAGTAGACCCCAATCTGGAGAAAAGGGCAGAGTCAGCTGGAAGCATGACCTCCCCAAGGGCTGCTGAGACCCTCAGATTCTCACTTCCACCCACCCCAAGATGCTTTCCAACTGGAAAACCTATTTGTTGATTCGTCAGTTTTATGTAACTAATAAAATCGTTTCTTTTTTGGCTGTCCCCTGGACGAATGATACTCTTTTGAATTAACATATTTGTGATCACTGTAATGTCAGGTCATTGTTTATCCATTCCTTCATAACATGGCATTGCAACCTGGTGAACCAACATACAGCCCCTCCATGTCCGTAGGAAGGAACTCCCTCCTTCCTCCACTCTTTTGCTCCACGTGTCTCTCTCTTTTGTGCTTTCCCTAACTCTCCAGTGCCAGGTCCATTGATTGAGTTCGGTATCTTATGTTCCCTAACAGAAATCCAGCTACTGTCTTTAAAAATGTCAACTTATTTCTTAAGCACAATTTTTCTCTTGGTTTAACCAACCTAGGGCTCTGAAGTGTCTATTTCTCACTGTACTCTAGTTAAAAAAATTATTTACGACTTCATTCAAAAGCCTAAATTTTGAAATCTCCAGAGCAACATCCTTATGCTTTCCTTCCCTACATTTTCTTACATTTCAGGTTTCTTAAGTTTTCCCCTTTGCTTTTTAATTTGATTTAAGCCAATATCTTTGGGATGCACAGAAACTGTTTATTCAAGGCGGGAGCTGGTGGACATGGGGGTTATAAAAATGCCAGTAGAAAACGACTGGGACTCACTCAAAGAATGTGAAATCATTTGATTAGCTGAGTAATTCAAGATAAAAAAGAAGGAAAATATGCGTAGTCATTTCCAAGACAGCTTGCCAATAGTCTGACTTTCTTTCCTTGACTTGGATGGTACTCTATGTGACTCAGAAAAGTCAAAAGGGGAGTTGTAATTAAATGCCCTACATACATGGGAAATAGTAACTTCTATGATTTCCTTTCAACGGATGGCTATAAAGTTGAAAAACATAGTTATACATAATAGATGATTCATTGATACCGCATTCCAATATAGTAAAGTCATATTATCTTGTTTCTAGCCTTCACGACCAACCTGTGTTTAAGAAAATGTAATCCTTTCATTTAAAATGGAGTTAAACACACCTCTTCCTAATATTTCTGCCCTTAATGTCTTAGAGAACTTCCACTGTAGTGTCATCTAGAAGTCAAAAACTCTGCAAGGCTACAAAGAGATTTTTGACAAAGCACAATATCATCACAAAATACAATGACAAATTATGTCATTACACAAATTATGTCATTTAATTCTACTCTACCATGAGAGCTTGAGTGTTACAATTTACGTTTTATGATAGGAATACTAGGGCTTAGGCAAACTGAGTAACTTCCCCAAGGTTATGGGCCCAGTAGTAATAGCTCCTGGTCTCAAATCCAGGGCCAAGGCTTAAGCCACAGGCACTATTTATACAGAGAGGGTCGGCAAACCAAAACTACTCACAGACTCTGGCCCATTCCCTGTTTTTGCACCACTTGTGAGCAAAGAATGACTTTTACATTTTTTAATGGATGCAGAGGGGAGGAATATTTTCGGACATATGAAAATTGTATGCAATTCAAATTCCAGTGTCCATAAATAAAGTTTTCTTGGAACACAGCCCCACTCATCCATTTGCATACTGCCTATGGCTGCTTTCACACTACACTAGCAGAGCTGAGTATATAAGACAGAGACTATGTGGCCAGAAGACTAAAATATTCCTATCTGGCCCTTTACAGAAAAGTTTGCCGACCTCTATACTGTCTGTACTATTAAGTACTATTCATGTATGAAGTGGTACTAATTACTA